ACAGGGTCGGGCCGGAGGTGTGAGCTCGAGATGTGGTGGTGGTGGTCGTGCACTTATTTCAATTGGACATTTATTAAGTATTTGATATGTCTGTATAATAAACCACGTTTTTAAGTATTTCCGCTATGCACATTAAGTATTGAACTTGCATTTTTAATAAATTTCAGATTTCAAGTTTATACCATTTCGAGAAGTATGAATATGGTACAGTTAAATGCAAGTTTAAAGAAAATCTGTTTTCTTTTTTTTTATGTCTAGAGAAGTATGAAACAGAATGTTTAAAGATTAGCATCTCGAGTAGTCGCAAAATATTTCGAAAGAGTTATAAGTATTTTCGAAGTAAAAGTTGCGAAAAATTTACTCTGATGAGCGGGGTGTTACAATTACCGCTTGACATTCCTCCAAATTGTTTGGCTCTCACAAGCGAACACAAACCATGAGGTAGTTTTTACTTGTTGTTCATGTCTGACTAGAAATCAGAGTCCTTTGTAATCCCTATGTTGCCTTTGGTTCCTTTGGTAGCCATACATATTATCCTTAGCCCAGTTACAGCGCTTGATCATATGTTCTACCATTAACCAATGCTTCCATCTATGATTACGTTGATATTTCCTAACATTTCCTTGTTAATAAATATCAGACCTCATTTATTGCATATACTAGGATTCCTATTGGCATGCATAATGACTGCCTCTGTATCATGCATACTTAGAATGAGCCTTATGATAGTATCTAGGCATGAAAGTCGGGATGATCGCAACATATCTTTCTTGTGATCCTCATCTCAAGAATATCTATTTATTCCTAATCCTTCATATCCAATTACTTGGATAACCATACACTTGCATCAGTCAACATTTTCACACTATCTCCAGTGATCAAGATGTTGTCTATGCAAAGTAAAAAATACCACCACGCTTCCATTGCACCACGCAAAATGCTCATTTGGTGAATAACCAAATCCACGATTCAAACTTATCATCCAAATGACCAGCTAACCATAGTCCATAAATGAACTGTCTTAGTCTACTGACTAGATGCTCTTAGCCCTTTTCATTGAACACTTCTAGGTGCTGCTCCATGGATATTTCCACAAGACTCCCAGTTAAGAAAAATGTCTTCACATCTATTTTGCCGAGTCTCATAACTATATGAGTGGCACCAGCTTTAAATTCGGCTACTGGTGAAAAGGCTAGCTCATAATAGATCTCATTCTTTTTGAGTCTACCATTTCACAACAAGCCTTTCATTTGTACAGAAACACGGCTACTGGTGAAAAAGCTAACTCATAATAGATCTCATTCTTTCTGAGTCTACCATTTCACATCAAGCCTTGCACTAAAGTCTTCACTTATAGATTTCGTCCAATAGCCTCTAAGCTACTTCGTAATTCTATAAGAACCCAGATCTGATAAGAGTTCAGAACCCCAAATCAGAAATCATTAAAATTTTGCTAAGTTCTTGCATCCTTGTCTTGGATCTACTCATTGTATGACTAGGGATCGATTCAAGTTTACTAGAGACTAAATCCGAGACTTTCTTAAAACATGAATCTCATAATCTCGTGTTTAATAGAGACTGAGTCCAACGACTCTCTCCTTGTCACGAATTCATGGAGTTGCTTTGCAACCCTCCCACTACAACGAGGTTCCCTCTGCAAAGGTGTATAACAGAAAATACGTGTTGCAGTTTTTTTTATTGTGGTATCACTTTCGTACACTCGGTGTTGAAGTTCAACTTTCACTTATATCTTTCTTTAAAACATCTCTAGAAATGGGCTTTGTAGCTTATTACTTAGGATTCCTCTAAAAACAAGACATTCGCGCTAACGAACATCTTCTGACTTTTAGTACTATAATAATCCACTCATTTTTCGTTACTATGAAGTATTCCACAAATAGCCTAATTTCCGAACAACCTTTCCAATCCTATTAGTTCAATCTTTCCAGCACGTGTGCCGAATGCTCTAAATTGAATATATTCCTGCCTAGGCCTAAGCCTTGTCCTCAATTCATTCAGAGTAATGAATACTAAGCTTAGATAGGATTATGGTAAGATATTATCCTGCTATTTGCACAACTCCAATTCGAAAAAGTGAAATTCCTAATAACTCATCATTGACACAACCAATCTACTTGAGAGACATTTTCCTTCGTCATGTTACACCTCCTGTTCTGATGAACCAGGTGCAACCTGTTGAGATCAAATCTCAACATCCAATAAGTATTTCCATGACTTTTCCAAAAGGTATTAGTCACTATGGTTGACGTGGAATTGGAACTCTCCCGTTGCGTTGAATTTCAGCCACCATTATGAAAAGGTAGGGGGAAATAGGATCCCCTGCCTTATGCCTCTTGAGGGGTGCACCAATCCACCAACACTACCATTCAAGCTAAAAGAGAAAGTAGGAGAAGTAATGCATCCCATGATCCAATGAATAAACTTCAAATGAAAACCCATTCTTGTCAAAACAAGTCTAATGGATTGCCATTCTAATCTATCAAAATCTTTTAAGAGATCAAGTTTAATGGCCATGAAACAGTTAGGACCTGACTTGTGTCTGCTGAGGTAATGGAAGACCTCTTGGCCTATAATGACATTGTCCATTATAGATCTTCCAGGAATAAATGCTGCTTGAGTATCACTTATGCAGGAGGATAAGCAGGGTTTAAGTCTGAGGGTCAGGATCTTGGAAATAGTTTTGTATAGGATTCCACAGAGACTGATGGGCCTGAAGTTGTTGAGAGATGCTGGATAAAGGCTGTAATGCTCCGTTCGACTATGTAAATTTTGAGAATTATTTATTATTATTATTATTATTATTATTATTATTATTATTATTATTATTATTATTATTATTATTATTATTTGTTTGTTGTTATTATTATTGTTGAATGCTAAAATTATTTAAATGTCTATAATAATTAATTTGTCAAAATGTATTAATTGCCTAATTGTTTAAATGTTATTTTTATCTAATTAAATTGTCTATTTGTGTTTTTACTAATATTATTATTATTTTAAAATAACTTGTGTGTATTATAAATATATATAATATCTGGTTTATGAATTTAATTTATCGATCTCGAGAAGAACCGATTTAATTTTTTGGCTAGTCGAGCCCGAGAGCCGAATCGTTTCCTTGAACCCACGTGCAAACCGGCCCAAACGAACCGTATCTAGCCCCGACCCGCGAACCCGGTCCGCCCGACCCGCGTGTGTGTGTTAACTATGTCTTGTGGGTCAAGAAAATAACCCTAAGTCTTGCTCCTTTATCTCGCGTCTAATTCAGAAGAGAGAAATATCAGAAATCCCGCAGCCTTCTCTTTTCTTCGTCTTCTCGATCACGCGTTGAGCAGAGAAGAGAGGTTCCTCTCGTAAAATTCGATTGACCATCATCGACCCCTCTCATCATCGCATCATCGTCGTCATCTTCACCCTCTCGTGAGAATCTCGTCATCGTCTTTACAATCTGATCGCCGCATCATCCCCGAACTCCATTGCTGCCCTTCTCGCGTGAACCAGATTCCGGCGAGTTCAACTCCTTTCTCGCCGGCGTTCGTCTCCTTCGCCATCGACGACGAGCCTGCCCCATCGTCGAGAACCCTCCGCCGCCATCTCTGTCGCCGAGAACCAGACTTTCCGGCGACCTCCTCCTGTCGCGACGGCAAATACGACAGCAGCAACTCGCGCCATCACCATCCTCTTGTCGACGCTGCAACCTCTCGACTTCCACCGGCGTTTTTCCGTTCTCGAGCAGGTCCCAGCAACAACGACGTGATCCTCCACGCGCCACTGCGAATCCGGCAAATTCCAACCACCATTGCAACTTCCGAGCGAGCACCCTCCACCCGTCGTACGTTCAGGCCACCGTGAGCAGCCCTCGACAGCGGACATTGATGCTGGACACCACCTTGCTCCGTCAACCAGAGCCTCGTCCTCCCCTCGTGAGCCGTGTGTTGCAGATTCGAGCCTGTCAACCCTTCTGTAGTGCCCCGTTCGATTTATAGAATTTCCTGGATTATTCTATCTATCGAAATTTTATTTATAGAATTATATTTATGGTACTAGTCGCGATGTCGACTTAAATTCTATGTTGAATTACTCGATCGTTTTATTTTAAAAACGTTCGTCAATCGGCGATTTCGGTCTAATCGTGTAAATCGAATCTAAGCCGTTCGATTTATAGATTTTTCTGGATTATTTATTTTATTTATGCAGATAGCTGCATTTAATTTTGTAATGCTCGACAAATTTCTCTGTTAAGCTTATTAGATTTAAGTAGATGTCCTCGTTTATTTAATCTTTCTAATTAATTTTACCTAATCAAAAATCGAGATTTAAGAGGATATCCTCGTCTTCTTAATTCATATTTTTTTGTTTGTGCCCTTGCTTATTTTAATTGTTTCTAAGTGTTTAAATTGTTATTGTTTTGCATAAGTGTACTTAGTACATTTAATTCGTCCCTTTTGTGCCTTTGATTTTCCGTTCAAGGAGCTATTTAACAGCCTTTTAACCAGCCCAAAACTCTTTCAAAGAAGTTAGTCAAAGAGCTTCCCTCATTTTCCTGGTTAGCCCAAAACCTACAGTTGGGCCTGATCATTTAATCTCGGCCCAAGAGATTACTTAAGAACCCGCCCATCCACCTTAGCCTTCTCAACTCCTCGGTTATCTCCTTTCCGTCGCGCCGCCGAGAAGAACCTAATGCAACAGCTTCCATGAAATCCGGCGGCCATATCTCACGACTCCCCCCTCCACGATGAAACTTTAACCCCTCTTTATTTAAGTCGAAATCAGTCGCCCCTTATTTTATTTTATTTTATTTTTTTTTCTCTTATGAGCCTCTATTATATTTTCCCCCTCAGATTATCCTCTGGCGACCTTGTGGCCAATTTTTTTTTCCGACGAAAAGCTATTGTACAGCGACTGAGCATCAGAACCCTCAACCACAAATATCGAGTCGCGACCTCGAGCCTCGAACTCCATCGGCCAGAGCAACCCTAGGTCGCGAGCCCCAAATCCCCTCCCCGTTTCAGCGATGCATCGTCCGTGAATCTCATCGGCGTTTCGAGATTCCCAGCGTGAGCAACAGGCCCGGCCGACGACGAGGTATCCAGCGAATTAAACGCCAGCAGCGACGAGGCTAGTACCAGTTGCCGGCGAATAAGACCCAAGCTCCTCCACGACTGAAGCGGGCCGAACAGCACCTGGCTGGAAGCGGTCATGTCCAGCGGTTGAGAGTTAGCCTTATCGGGGCTGAGACGAGCTCCGACAGTTGAAGAACTCCAGTTTCCGGCAACGGCAGACCCGAATCCGATCCTTGTACGGCTGAGACGAGCCATCGAGGACCATAAATCGAACCCTTCAGACCCGAACAATGACGTCCCACGAGCGAGCAGCTGCGAGCCCCCGCCTCGCCAATTCCGCAGCAAAGCAAGAAACCGAGAGCAAAAGAACCGAGTCCCGAGCCTGGTTTCTTTTTCCATTTTAATTCCTGATTGAGGTAATTGGCTGGGACATACCCTCTTTTATGTGGCCGATAGCATGTTTAGAAATCTGTTATTCTTTAAGTTGTAATGGCATGCTAGGGACTTGGTAGATTTGATGAGTTCTGAGTTGACTTATGTGATTTTATGAGCTAATTATGGTGTATTTTAGTTATCTTTGTTTAATATGTGTGGCTGAATTTTCTTTACATGTTAGCATGCTGTTAGAATTTTAAATCAGTTCATAAGGCCTTGGCATGTGGTTTAAGCGTGAGATAAGTGGAAGAAGGGTGCTTGTGTTTTATTAATGCCTTGTTAAGCCGGATGTCTTGTCTTAAGTTGGTGAGCTGTTATGAGAATGATTATGGACTAGGATTTTGAATTTTCACATGTTTAAGTTAAAGAGAAAGATGAACTGTGTGTAATGTTTCTGCCGTGCCTAATTCCGTGCTAATTGTTGAGGTTTCGTATTGCACTTATCATGCTGAGAACATGTTTAAGACCTAGAGTTTATTAGTTATTTTGTGGATTTAATGTTTGTTCTTGAGCTTGAGATAAGAAAGGAAAAAGAAGCATGAGATTGCATTGTTGTGACCTGTTATGTGGTTGATGTTTAAGAATAAAAGATAGAAATGAAAGCATGTTTTGATGTGGTTGATCTCATGCTATGAAGTGACTGTACCTTTTCTTTTTATTCTACCGCACGTTTACTGAACAATTGGGGGCCTTTGTTATATAATTGTTATGTACTGAAATGTAATTGGCTAAACTAATAGAAGTATACTTTGTAATGTGATTAAGTTAATGGTAACCATTATAATTATTTTTTTTATCTGCTGTTTGGTATTAAAAATCTGAAGCCTCTTGATCTTATTATCTTATGCTGACCTATACATCATTATTTACGTTGTTTTACATCTAATCATTGATCACCTTATCCGCTGGTCAATATGCATGCATGCATGTATGTTGTGTGGTGTTTTGTATTTTGAGCCGAGCAGGTGTACCTATCTGCTGAACCTTTTTAGTGCCCTACATATGCATATTGTATGCTTATGTGTTGTACCTTATGTGTATTATAAGTTCAACTTATTGTTTTGGGCTTTGATTTATTATGTTTGGTGATGAGTCTTTTGATGCGGTTTAGTAGTTGAAGTGTGCTGTGTGGCCTAATCAACCCGATCAAAATCCTTAATAATAATTAAATCCTTTATTTTTAGGTTTGAGGAGTCGAGCCCTCGACCTACATTCTTCAGCTTGTGTGCTATTGCCTACCCGAATTCCAGGTGGGTTTTATTTGAAATTGCTATGCCTTAATTAATTGTTTATTTTTGTGGTATGATCAATGTATGCATGTGGACCATGTAGCCTTCGATGTGAGCTATATTGGCCGTCGAACGGTTATCCCCGTAGCTATAGAACGTACCTTCGGGTAGTCTCCTTTATTATTGTTGGCAGTCAGGGCATGAGCCTTGGCTGGTGATCCTCGTATGTAAGGCCAAGACGTAAGTTTTGGCATTCGGGGTGTATTATTGCTCCTGCTGGCCGGACACTCGTTGTAAGGCCTTAGATAAGGCGTTCGGTATATAGTTCGGCAGTAGTCTATTGCTATAGGTGTGCACATGAGACTCATTATTGATTATTGATAGGAGATGGACGGTTATTGATTCTTATACATGCTGCGACCATACTTAAATAGTTTTCATGATTATCGATATTAATTATTGCATAGCGGTGAGCACCTCGATTTTCCTATTGTACTCATCCCCACCTGCTCTTCATGGAAGCAGGTTAGTGTTGCGGGCACGGCGAAGGGATGCGAGTGGTGGTCTTAATAATTGATATTGCTTCCGCAAAAAATTGAATATTGCTATTACTGTTTTCTTTATTATTGGTTACTGGATTATTGAAGGGAGTGTAATCCCTAGGATGACTTGATTATTGGATTGCGAATTTGAATATTGATAATTGAGTATTGATGATTGTTTAAGTATTGGTGAATGATTGAGTATTGAAAATTTGGTTAAGTATTGATAAACCGTTTGAAAATGAGTAACGCCTCAAGTGTTTATTTAAAATAAATTTGAAAAATTTATTCTGATTTTCGGCAAATAAAAGTGGGGCGTTACACCTTCGTTTCCGTTTTCGATCGAATCCCGAGAATGGTACAAGGCTTGACCCATCTCGTTTAATTCTATGTATTATTTTTTGTGTTCTATTATGTGAAATGGGTGTTGAACGTGCTTCGTGAATTTAAATTCATGCCTTAGATGAATATGGGTGAAGTTATATTATTTAATTGCAAATTGGATATCAAAGTGAATGTCGTCACTTTGAATTATTGTCGAACTGAATTTAATGTGGCATATTTCAAGGAAATCCTGGGTTTGTAGGTACTTGGAGTTGTCCTTGATTTATTGGTTTTTGTTTGAGGTCGTTTCGAGTTATATATAGGGAGTTATGATTTTTCTAACCCGAGCATGCTGCTGAATCGTAATAAATTCACCATAAATCGAGTTGTTATCCGTTTGGTCTATATTTTTGATATGTTGTGCCCCTGAGTATGTGGAATGTGTGTGCCAAGCCCCTGATTTTATCTTTGAGTTTTTGCTATTCAAATGCTTAATATGGTTTCTAGGAAGAAACTTGTAAAATTCATTAAATATCGTACACTTAGAGTTTTGAGCTGAAACTTGGAGGAACATGTTATTTTGTGTTGTTTTATGTTGTGTAAAAATGTTAGATTAAAATTCGAAGTGTAGCTATTCGAACCATTAAATGCTGATTTTGGCGTTGTTTTTGCTTAAATTATTTAAAAATGCTCCCGAATGAATTTAGGGCTGAAACTAGGTGAGTTTATGTGTTTTTGCATGCTTTATAATGTGATAAAGTTTCAGGTTGATTGGCTGAGCCTATCTCCTAATTCTGAATTTAGTTCATTTTGGGGTCTTAATGCTTGGTTATCTGTTGTTTAGGTCTGGATTGGATTTTATCAATGTTGGCATGATTTATGTGTATTACCTGAGGTATTTGAGTTGTTTCCAGGTCTGGTAGTCACTCCATAGTACCTAACTCGGTCAAGGAATCCACGAGTCACTTAGTCGATATGATTTCGGCTAAGTATATGTGCCTTATGTGTTGTTTTGTATTGGATAGTAAGTGATAGTTTATTATAAATTTTTGTAGGTTCTTCGAGCTGAACTCGTGTCATAATTCCTTCAACTCTGTGTTTGGCTATACCTCTTGCTACATCCAGGTGGTTTTTATTTGAAAATTTCTATGCCTTAATTAATTGTTATTGTTGTGGTATGATCAAAGTATGCATGTGAACCATGTAGCCTTCGATGTGAGCTATATTGGCCGTCGAACGGTTATCCCCGTAGTACCCGATGGATAGTCTTCTTTATTTATGTATGGCAGTCAGGGCGTGAGCCTTGGCTGGTGATCCTCGATGTAAGTCCAAAGGCTAGGTTCTGAGCATTCGGGGTGGATTTACTCCTACTGGCTGGGCATCGATTGTAAGACCCGCGGGGAATTTCGATTCGTGTATCAGCAGTGGTCTATTGATATAGGTGTGCACATGAGAGTTGACTCTGGGATAGGAGATGGGATATTAATTGATTTGTGTTCATACTGCGACCATACATGCTTTATTTTATGAAATTGGATATTAATTATTGCATAGCGGTGAGCACCTCGATTTTCCTATTGTGCTCATCCCCACCTGCTCTTCATGGATGCAGGTTAGTAAATGCGGGCACGACAGAGGGAGGCCAGTGGTGGTCATTTTAATGATTATTTCCGCTGTTTAAGCTGCTTAGTATGATTTATGCATTTGTGATATATATTGGATTTCGGATTATTGATAGGGAGTGTGCTCCCTAGTATTTATGGATTTGATGAACTCGGTTTTGGGAGTTGATGTTATTTATGAACCCAGTTTGGGTGTTGACCTATTTATGATTGTTGAACCCGTTTGGGAGTTGCATTTATGATATTGTTGAAACTGTTATTGGAAATGAGTAGCGCCTCAAGTGTTTGAAAATAAATTTTGAAAAAATTATTCTGAATTTCGGCAAATAAAAGTGGGGCGTTACAAAGGCACTTGGGGATGAGAGAGATAATGGTGTGGTTCCAATACTTCAACATCCTGCCTGACTGGAAGAAGCTTTTGATTGCATCACATATGTCATCTTTAAGTATGGGTCAGAAATGGTGGAAAAAATTCTTAGTCATGCCATCTTCCCCTGGTGCTTTTTCAGGATGTAAACTGAAGAGAGCCTCTCTAATCTCTTTCTCTTCCACATCAGCAATTAGATCTTTGTTCTGCTGCTCAGTGATGGATTGAGGGATATTAATAAGAATACCTGTGTTGCCAATTGGGCCATCAGAGGAGTAAAGGTTGTAATAAAATTTACAAACACAATTTTGAATGTTATGTTGATCATCAAGAGTGTTCCCATTTTCATCTAAGAGTCTGGTAATAGCAGTAAGTCTCATTCTCTGAGCAGTAAGGGCATGGAAAAATTTTGAGTTTTTGTCCCCAGCTTTGAGCCTCAAATTTCTTGACTTCTGCTTCCAATACATTTCCTCAAGACTGTGTGCCTCATTAAGTTGTGCATTAAGGCTGTTCCAGGAGTCCCAGTCTCTATCCACAGTGGAGTTTCTTAAATTTTCCAGAGCAGCATTGATTGTATTAATTTTCCTCTGATTATCTAAATGATGAGTTATGCTCCACAGCAAAAGTGCAAGTCTGGTGGCTTTAATTTTTTCCTTAACCTTGAACATTGGAGTGCCCTCAACAGGATGGGGCCATGCATTTGAAACTACATCTTGAACTCCATCTCTAGTTATCCATCTCTTATCAAAACAGAATCTTCCCTTCTTGTGGTGGGTGAGTGGATCAGAATTTATTAGCAACATACTATGATCAGATGAGGTTCTCAGTATGTTTTCCACCGAGGCATTAGGGTGGTCAGCAAACCAGTCTACTGAATAGA